AGCACTATGGGGCAGTATATAAGCAGCACGCTTTGCTTTGCTTTGTATAGTACAGTGGTGCCTCGCATAGCGATCGCTCCGTTTAGCGATGAAATCGCTTTGTGATGCATTTTTTGCAATGTTCTCTATGGGGGAATTTTGCTTTGCGATGATCAGTTCCCTGCTTCGGGAACCGAACATCGCAAAGCAACGATTTTACAACAGCTGATCAGCGGTTTCAAAATGGCCGCCGGGTAAACAAAATGGCCACCGGGTAAACAAAATGGCCGCCCACTGTTTTCTGGGACGGATTCCTCACTCTACAGCCACCAAAAATGGCCATGCTATGGAGGATGTTCGCTGAACTGTGATTTTCCAGCCCATAGGAATGCATTGAAGGGGTTTCAATGCGCTTCTATGGGCTTTTTTATTTCACATTGCGACGTCTTCGTTCTGCAGCAATTTTTGTGGAACAAATTAACGTTGCAATGCGAGGCACCACTGTACTCTGAGCAGCTAGTATGGAGAAGAATTTTGTACAACAGGGGTTGACTTTTATGGCTTTTATTGTCTTCTTACTGTTTGAGTAAAGGAGTATGTTAGACTGAAATTCTATCCTCTTTTCTAATTCCTCTTGTCTCCAGCTATCAGCCAGTAGTGGATTACATAGATGCACAATTTGAAGCCTATCTCCAGGAAGAGCTGAAAATTAAGCGGTCCTTATATAATTACCATGACACTCGCATCCATGTGTGCCTGTACTTTATTTCACCCACAGGCCATTCCCTTAAAGCTCTTGATTTATTAACCATGAAAATTCTGGATAGCAAGGTAAGCTTCTATAAAACAAGTTTATAAAAAATGGCAAAATTCTTTCTTTACTTATCTCTTATAGTAATGAAAGTTTTAGATATAGTAGCCTTATGAAAGAATATTCAAAGTGACATCAAGGAAATCAGATTTTTTATTACAAGAGCAAAAAAAGTTTCACAAAAGTGTTAAGAAGTTGAATAGGCTCTTTTTCCATACATAGTTCATTTGAGCATCGTCTTTTATATTTTTAAGGTCAGTTACTCTGAACAAAACTTAAGTTATTTGGCCATAGAACAGGAAATGTTCTAATATGCTTCTTAACAAGAATATAGCAAGGCAGTTGACATCTGTTGGTGAAATCGAAATCAAAATGGAATGATGCTCTTCTCTCATCCTGCCCAATGGGAATGGGAACCTCTCTGTGTTAGGTGCACAGTCACAGTCAACATTTATTTTAATAATAGAGGACAGGGATGTATCTAATTCTGACATTGCACGTAGAGAAGCCTGTTCCATGGGCACAAGTGGGAAAAGACAACTCCCCCAGTTATGCAGCCCTCCCAACACTGCTTCCAAGGAAAACCCTCCTTTTTCTACACTTGATAAGCAAGAGAGATTAATTGGCAGAAATAAGAGCAAACTCAGTGCCCTGAAATATTTAGATGAATGAAAAGAGTAAAATTTTGCAAAGATAACAAAGTAGATTGACTTGCAACTGAAATGGTGCATGCTGTTTGTTTCCATTATTTATGGCTTTTTCAAGGTGGCTTTACAAGTTCATTAATAAAATTATGATAAATTAAATAAACTAGGTAAAGATGGCTATAAAGCAGCAGAAATAAGCCAATAGAGTTGTACTAAAATATGGTGTATCAAATTTTATCTTCTAATGTGCCTGTAGTGGTAAAACATTGAGAAGATAGTTGCAGTTATCTTATTTTTATATAGTTATGAAGTGATCGTTTAAAAATAGCTGTTATTCTTTGAATGTACTGTGTGTCAGTATTGCTTTTTCAAAAAATATGTGCCTATTGTTAATATTTTTGTTAAGAATGTGTCTTAAAATCCATGTTTAAATAGGTTCTTAAATAGGTTTCTCACAGTCAAGTGAGAAAGTAGAAATAAAATTATATTTTGCCTCTGCAAACGCCAATGTGCTGATCTCATCCCAAACTAAGATATTGTAGAGAGAAACCACATGAGAAAGAAAGGCAGCCATTCAGCATTTTCTGAGCGAGTTCACTGTTCAGTTAGTCTTACAGCTTCATACAATTGTACTTCTTATTCATCAAGACAGTGGAGATGCAAGGAAGAAATGGTACTAGCTGGTAACAGCAAGTTGTATAACTAGGACCAGTGTAGCATCTATTTATTTTCTGCTCAGTAGAAATATCAATCCTTAACTTTAATTAAATTCATTGTAGTAAACATCTTATTATCCATTGTTCAAAAGAAAACCTCAGTTCTAGACTTCACTAAAAGTTAGAGTTCCTGTTTCCTTTAGAATATGTGAGAATGCACGATGAAATTCAGACAGATTCACTGTGTTTTCTAATGATGTTCCAGTGAGGATCACGTTGTTTGAATTAGTTCATGATCCCCTTTGCTTATGGCTGCCGGCCACTGCCTCTATATGCATAGGGCTCTCATTGCCAGCTGTAGCAGATGGAGCTGTAGGAGCACATGGTGTGCTTTCCTTGCCATTGCCAACATTATAGCTTTGCTCTCGGGCATATGCAGTGGGTTTTGCATATTTTTAAAAACAAATGAAATAATTACACCATTAAGTACATACATGTAATGCTTGGACATATTCAAGAGGGCTGGGGATTGCATCTGTTCCCCTACAATCTTGGAAAGCTACACTTACCTTTTAATCCCCTTCTGTTCCAATTTTTAAAATGTGTCCTACAATGTAACTATTATTTATTTATTACATTTCTTCTCTGCTTTTCCACTACCAAGTCAAGGTGGCTTACAGACAGCATAAAAAAAAAATAAAAACAAATGGAAAGAAGATTTAACCATAAAGCAACTAAAATCAATTTAGTCCATAAACATAGTAGTTAAATACTACCAGATTACATATGGAGTATCAATATTCAGCTGCATTGACACTTCTAGTTTTATAAGACCCTTGATTTCTAAAGCAGGGCAAGAAGGGGCTGAGATAGTCTGAAATAGGCAGTAATTTCCCTTATAACTTTTGCCCTTTTGGATCAAGTGAGAGAGGGCCTGATATGCTCATGTTGGGGATCAGGAGGGCCACATAAAGACTGGGGAATACTTTGCCCAGCCCTAGTATGTAATGTTGGCTTTTCCAGGGTTCTGTTGAACTGTGGCTATTTAACATTTGAGAATCTCAAATGTGTACCTGAATTGAAGGCAGTCCAGTTAATATTACAGCTTTGTGCAATCTAGGATTTGTTTTAGTCTGTTTATAATTTTCATCAGCAGTTTTTTTGAACTTCATTTCATTATGAAAGATATTAGTCAAAATCCTGTTACTTGGCATGATAAATCACTAGAGTAGGCCCATTGAATCAATGGAGATTTGGTGAGTTAGTTCCCCCATAAGTTCCATTGAGTCAAATGGGCCTACATTGTGATTTATTTTAGCATAATAAGGCACAGTTAAAGTAGGCCCATTTGAGTCAGTGGAACTTATGGAGGAGTTGATTCATTAAATTTCCATTGATTCAATGAACCTACTCTAGTGCAATTTACTACACCAAGCAACAAAAGTTTGGCTAAAGTAACTGGTTATTATTATTTTAAAGCAAATACCATTAACAAAAGGAAATTAATTTTAAGTATGCATCTTCTGCATGTGTTTAAAATAAATCATAATGCTTTAGCTTGCTGTATTTAAAGCAGTGGCTGTAATTTATCATCATCAGTAGCAGAACTAAATACGGTATAAAGTAAATTAAAACTCTAGGGCAGTAATTAAAAGTTAACTCCTAATTCATTTGTGAGTCATCAGTTTTGTTCTTCTCTGGTTTCATACTGGCCTAGTTTTAACCAAGCTAGCAAGCCTGTACCATCAGATTACAGATGGGAGTTCAAATGAGTGTATAAATATTTCTTCATACAAAAACATTTGCTTTGCATGGAAAACTAATTACCAAGGAGAAGAAATCTAGCATAGTCTTCTTCTTGACATGTAGTGTCTGTATCTAGAAATCTTGCCTCCCACGCCAAGTGAGAGGAGCTGATCTAAGCTTCTCTTGTGGGTCACTGAAATGTTACAACCTAGATACAGATTTGCCTTTTGTTTCTGTTCATGGGGTTTTCTTGGCAAAGATACTGGAGTGGCTTGCCAGTTCCCGCTCCAGGTGACCCAACTCCGGGAGGCAGTGGAAGATAGGAGGACCTGGCGTGCTTTGGTCCATGGGGTCACGAAGAGTCTGACATAACAACTAAACAACTGCAAATTTACCACCATAATAAGAAATATGTCTGTGTATTTCAAATTAAATGGAATTGCATTTGGTACCATTTGATAAGACTTTAAAAATCTGTAATTCTCATAGATTCTGACCATTAATGAGATCCATTAAAAAAACCAGTGTTTGCAAAGCTTAATAAGTTGTGGTATTTGCTGCATGCGAGGTGCTGCATGTGAGGTTCTCAACTGGTGTCCATTCAGACACTTATCGGAGGCTGACTATGCCATGCACTTTTAATTAATTGGGGTATGCAATTCAAATTAAGTGCTATAGACAAGCCATAGTATAAATCAATTCATTTTTATTTATTTTACTGCATTTATATCCTATCCTAGTAGCTCAAGGTGATAAACAGGGTTCCTCCACCCATTTATCATTATAACATCCCCGTGTGGTAAGGCCAAGAAATGGTGCCTATAGGAAGGCCACTCACTCTTACAACGAAGTGAGGCTCCAAATCCAGGTATTCCCAGTCTTAGTCTGGCATTTACAATGAATTTCTTGGCATTTTTATATGGCAATTGGAATCAGTCTTTATCAATAACATTGGCAATAATTATTATAGCAGAAAACAAGTGTGTGTTTGTCCCAGTGGAGTTAATGATTTAGAAACTATATACATCTTCCTTTTGAATTCGACCTCTTTTGGTCTTCAGGAAATGCCATGCTTCAGCAAACAAGTCCTCTTCAGCAATACAAAAGGTTAAAATAGTAGTGGATTTTAAAGAATTCAGTTCATTTTATAAATTGAATTGTTGTTCAAGTTTTAATATTCTGTAGTAAAAATGCTATTGCATAGGTGTGTGCTTTGCTGCTAGTCTGAATTGCCAGCAGAAGCCTCCTGATTAGTGAGCAGTCGAAATAGTAGACAGTGTACAAGTTAGTACTTGGATGGAAGCACAGCTCCAGCCCTTTCAGATCTCATCTCTCCTTCACTGTGTCATCCATCACTTCTAGCTATATGTTACAACAACCAGCCCTTTTGCCCAGTCCTCCGCTTGCGTTTCTCATCTAATATAGGTGGAAAAGCTCTTGAGACAGATATTATGTTGTTGTAAAGAGCAACTAATTAGCTGGAAAGTCAGGTTTAAAAGGTTGCTTTGGAAGATAGATTTGGTTGATTCCCATATCAAGGATTTTCATTTCATTACAATTTACCAACTTATTTTTGAAGCTGTAAAGTGTTTTGAACTGACAGGGAAGGTGCTTTCAAATCTGTTTGCCCGTAAATGAGGAAGGCAACGTATTAGATAATCACAGAAATAAACGTTAATGTGCTGTTAAGTTATGACTTATTGACGCTAGAGTTCTATACTTTGGGAGCACAAGTAAGATCCAATTTCTGTTAAGGCACTCTGACAGTTGTTACTGTTTTTGTTAAGTAGATGGTAATTCATACACCAAGTTATACCATCTGTAAATTTATATATTATTATATATAATGTGTTTCCCCGAAAATAAGACAGGGTTTTATATTAATTTTTGCTTCAAAAATGCACTACGGCTTATTTTCAGGGGATTTTTTTTCATGTCGAACATTTATTCAAATACAGTCTTCTGGTTGATGCACAATGGCGAAGGGTGGTGTTTCATTTAACTGGGGCTTATTTGGGGGGGCAGGGACGTGGTGGCGCTGCGGGCTAAACCGCAGAAGCCTGTGCTGCAGGGTCAGAAGACCAAGCAGTCATAAGATTGAATCCACGCAACGGAGTGAGCTCCCGTCACTTTGTCCCAGCTCCCGCCAACCTAGCGGTTCGAAAGCATGCAAATGCAAGTAGATCAATAGGGAGCATCGCGGTGGGAAGGTAACAGTGTTCCGTGTCTAAGTCGCACTGGCCATGTGACCACGGAAGATTGTCTTCGGACAAAACGCTGGCTCTGTGGCTTGGAAAAGGGGATGAGCACCGCCCCCTAGAGTCGAACACGACTGGACAAAAATTGTCAAGGGGAACCTTTACCTTTACCTTACCTAGGGCTTATATTACGAGCATCCTGAAAAATCATACTAGGGCTTATTTTCAGGTTAGGACTTGTTTTTGGGGAAACAGGGTTAGCTGTTAATATCTCCTGTTGGTGGCAATACCACTCTCTTGGTTTTGAATCCCCCTTCAAAAGTAAAGTTTTTTCCATCTTTTCAGAAACAGTTGATTCATGAGCACTTTTAAGCCTTCTTTAACACGGCCAAATTAGTCGATAAGATCAGGATTCAGCTGAATTATGCACACAATGTGAAGTTGAAGAGACAATTCGCAGCTCTGGTTAAAAAAGATTTTTTTTTCTTTTTAGTGATTGTAACTTATATCCAAAAAGTTTGAATGATGTGCCAAGATACTTATTTGAGTCGTAGTCATATGTTGTAATTTTTCAAAATGTTACAATACTAGAGACATCTTATTTCTTTAATAGGTGAATATTATTCCAATTATAGCCAAAGCCGATGGAGTTTCTAAACCTGAACTACAGAGATTTAAAAGCAAAATTTTGAGTGAATTGGCCAGTAATGGAGTCCAGATATATCAGTTTCCAACAGATGATGAGAGCATTGCTGAAATAAATGCAACCATGAATGTAAGTACTTCACTGACCATGCAATACCATAGTATTCAAACTGAGCCTGAACTGCTACTGCTTTTTATTATTGCTCATATTATTCCTATCTACTTTAGGGCCTGTCTAAATGTTAGTATATATAGCTAAGCGCATCTCTTCAACATTTTGAATTGGATCATTCCTCTGCAAGAGCTCTGTGGTATTACAGTACTTGCTCAGCAGTTTGGGCTAATTTTAGCAGAATGGACTGAGTTTGTTCTTTATTTTTTATGTATGTATGTAGTATATAATATTTTTCTTTCCCATGTTGAATATGAACTGGGATTTCACAGCAAGAAGCATCTTTTGTTGATTCTTTGTAAAACTGGGGAGAGCCACTTCATATGCTTCTAGATACAATTATCTTTGCTTGCTGAAAACCATCCTTTGGTGGCTGTTGCCATTACAGGTCAAGTGTGTGAATACAGGTGATCTCAGGACTTCCCTAGCATGTTTCTTGAGGGTGACAACATATTAGTAGGTTTTGCCAAATATTGGTTCTTCTTTGTGGTCCATGAATGCACATACATTGGTTTTAATATGCCTGCTCGGAGATTCTCAGAAACTTCTAGAGGTTTTACATGTGTCCATTACGTCCTCCCTCCCATCGCACTTGCCCCGCCCATGGCACAGAGTGCCTCAGTTCCTTTTTTGCTGCTGCTCCAGCAACACCTCAGTTACAGAGCTGCTGTTCATTCTGTAAGAAAATTAAGATAATACGATCTTCAGGACCTTCCTCCAATTCTGTTCTCCTATTTTGTGTGTAAAAGAAAAGAGAGAGAGAGAAATAAGGATAGAGGAGAAGAATCTGTTTTTCCTGCCCTTTTTTCTATCCAAACCCTCTGCTCTTTTATGGCCTCTTCAGGCCCCTTCAAATCTTGCCTGGATAAAATAACTTTCTGACAGGCATTCTCGGTGCCTATTCTGCTTTAGGTGAGGCACACCAAACTTTATTGTGTCAGGCCTGTAAAAATCTGACTAAACCAGTGCTTAAATGTCTCCAGTGATTAAGATCTTTTCCTGAGAAAAATCCCTACAACCCCCTCAGTGCTCAATCATATCCAGGCCGAAACCACAGAGGCCTCACCTAGCTCTCAAAATCAGTCTCTGACCGTGAGACTGTCCCAACCCACTAAAAAGGCTAAACTAACATTGAAGTCGACCTCAGTACTGACGCCTAGAATGAAAAAGAAAACATCAATCTCACAAGGCCAAATACACTGCAGATAAACAAGCTTCACCTTCTCCACCTATGGAAGAGCTTCAAAAGGAGACTGTTTGCCTTGATTTATTGTCTCGGGATAAGTATGCAATCACTCCAAGCATGGTATCTTTCCTTTTTTTTGACCCCATGGTAGATCATCCCTACAAAATCCTTACAGTTACAAAGGAACTAGCATCCAAGCTTACTTGGTGGACTAATGTTCACAATCTGGGCATAGGCAGACCATTTAAGGCCCTGTGCCTCTCTGCTCAGGTCACCACAGATGCCAGCCCCACAGGCTGGGGGGCTCACTGCAACAATATGACCGTGTGACTCCACGTGTGGAGCCGTGAGTGGTCTTTGGGTGATGACGTGTTTGGCCTCCTGTGTCATTGTTGGGGGACCCCACAAGTGGATGTATTCGCCTCCTCTGCCAGTGCAAAATACTACTGCTGTTGCTCCAGGGCAGAAAGAGGACTAGCGTCTATAGGAGATGCCTTCATGACCACCTGGAATACCACCACTGTATCTCTTTCCTCCCACTCCAGTCCTCCAGTGCACAATTATCAAAATCAGGCAGGACAACTCCAATGCTATCCTGACCACTCCAGAGTTGGCTCCACCAACCATGGTTCATGACCATGGTTCAATCCATGGCTCTCGATTTTCTCCACCTTCCATGGCTCCCATATCTACTGACCCTCAACCAGGGAAAGACATTTCATCCGGACCTCCAGACTCTATACCTCACCACCTGGAGGGTACTCCCTTGATAAATCAGGTTTTGGACTACACCTGCAGACCTTCTACCAATTACAGTGGTGCCTCGCTTAACGGTGATAATCCATTCCAGGAAAATCACCGTTAAGTGAAAACATCGTAAAGCGAAATTAAAAACCCCATTGAAACACATTGAAACCCATTCAATGCATTCCAGTGGGGTAAAAACTCACTGTCCAGCGAAGATCCTCCATACGGCGGCCATTTTTGCTGCCTGTATAGCGAGGAATACGTCCCTAAACACAGCGGAGAGCTATTTTAATTACCCGGTGGGCATTTTGAAACTGCTGATCAACTGTTAGGAAAACATTGATTTGTGAAGAATCGGTTCCCGAAGCAGGGAACCGATCATCACAAAGCAAAATTCCCCCTTTAGACCATTGTTTTGTGATTGCAAAAAGATCATTGTAAACCGGATTCGTCGTAATGCGGGGCAATCGTAAAGCGAGGCACCACTGTATGTATTTCAAAGGGACATGTTCTTGCTTTTTTTCTAGAACCATGGCCTTTCATTTAATTGGTTTACATGCTGCATATGTATTACATTTTGCAATTTGTTTTATTTTTCTGGTTGCCAGAGAGACAAATGTTTTTTCTGTGTTTCTCAGGGGCACTTGCCATTTGCTGTAGTGGGAAATACTGAAGAGGTAAAGATAGGAAACAAAACAGTAAAAGCTCGCCAGTATCCTTGGGGCATTGTGCAAGGTAAACACAAGTTTAAATGTGTACTTGTCCAGAATCAGTTTGGTAATGCTGCAGATAGGTTAAAGGTTATTTTTCAGATATGCTCTCCAATTCTTAACAAACAGAGATTCACATTTTACGACAATTAAATCCCATACTTGGAAGAAACTTGCATTCTTTCTTTTTGAAGAATAAATAAATTGTTATTTTTGGGAACTAGATAAATTAAATTTCATAAGTTAAATTTTGTTTCTAAGACTGCTAAAGATATCAGTATTATACATCTCTATTCTGAATCAGCTAATGGATGTTTAGCCAGGAATCTGAAGCCGTTATGTGAGTTATAGTAGAAATTCATAGTTTGTTTGTAAATATGGGGCCAAATGTAATATGGTACTTCTGGACAGACTATGGCAGGGGATGACTAAAAAAGTCACTCTCTCTGCTTGTCCTGTAACATATGAGGACATAATGGAATGGAACATCAAATACAGTGGTGCCTCGCTTAACGGGTGCCCCGTTTAACGACGAATCTGCATAGCGATGAAGATTTTGCGATCGCAAAAGCGATCGTATTGCGATGTTCCCTATGGGGAAAAATCGCTTTGTGATGATGGCTTCCCCCCCATCATTGCAAACGCCCCATTTTCGTACAGCTGATTGGCGGGCTGCACGATCTTCGCAAAGGCCCGCCGATCAGCTGTGCGAAAACGGGGCGTTTGCAATGATGGGGGGAAGCTATCATCGCAAATGCCCCGTTTCTTGCGAGGAATCCATCTCAGAAAAGAGCTGGGACCCATCTTCTCCGCTCCATCCCCTCCCCCTCCCCGCCTCACAGCTGATCGGCGCTGCTCTTAGAAGCTTCCCCAGGCCTGCCCAGCAGGTAAACAGGCAGTGGAAATGCACTGGGGAAGCCTCTGAAACCTGCGCTTTGCCGGGGTGGGGTGGGTGGGGGTGTGGCAGGGGCAGGCCCACCCCCCAGAGCCCCCCCTCGCACCGCTTTCAGAAGCCTCCTGGGGCTTTTTCAGCAGTGAAAATGCACCTCTTTCACTG